GTGAGTGAGGGAGAAAGAAAAGGAGTTGGCTGGACAGGAAACCTCCAGGCAAAGCAGCTCCTGAAAACTGAGGCTGGGCTTGGCTGGCGGGGAGGAGCAAAAGGGAGAAGCAGGTTGCAATTAATCTTGCACCAGAGAAGTACCTTTTGCAAAAAAAAAGCGTGAAACCCTCTTTGAGGAGGTTGTAGCTGTTGGAAGCCTTGCAGTGGGCGTTCTCTGTCAGCACCCTAGTTCTTTCTTTCCCTGAGATAACTAGTTTGTTTGAAGGAGAGCTATTTACTGTATGCTTGGACTTTGCAACAAAACAACCCTTTGCTTTGTTTGGAAGCATACCTTAGGGACTTGTTCCTAAACCAGGAAACTGTTTCTTTAACCTTTGCTCCTCCAGCCGCCAAAGAACAATGCAGTTAATCAAAGTTTGTATTGCTCTTCAGAGGCTGAGGGCGAAAGCCAAGAGTGGTGTAGTGGTTTGAGTGTTGGATTGGGACTGGGGACTGAGTGGGCCCTAATCCCCACTCAGCCATGAAGCTCCCTGGATGACTCCATGCCAGTCACAGACTCTCAGCCTCATCTACCATACAGAGTTCTTGTTGTGGACATTAAATCTAGAGGAGGAGAACCTTTTCAGCCTTATAAGAGGAAGAAAGGTGGGATATAAATGAATGTTAGAATAATAAGTTGCACTTACACTAGGTTGCACATGAATTGCACATGAACAAATCAGTCAAAGCTGCACATGAGCCAAGACACAGACTACCAGGGTCCCATTTTGTCAGTCAACTGAGCTATGCCCACTTTGAGCTCCAGCTTTATCCACTGCTGGTTCTGGCTACGAATTAAGATTATCCATAGATCAATGATCATAGGGAAAAAAGCATGCCATTACCTTGCAAGCAGTATGGCCAGGCATGGCTGGCAGGCTCAGCCAGTCTTCAGCACAATACCCAAAGCAAATATCCTCAGCAAATTCCAAAATGTGTGTTGTCCTGGTTTGACACATTATACAGTGCCTTTTCCTTAAAAGGCATAAGGAAGAATAACAGTTCGCTGAGAAACTACTCAGTTATATGTTGACTTTGATGACTGAGCTTCCATCATCATTTCTCCATGCACAGTCATGCCCAAAGTTGGACTAAAATGGATATTTCACTTTAGTGAAAAGTAAGAACTTCGTAGAGCTATTCCTCAAATAGAAAAGAGCGTGTGATATTCTATTTTCTCAGACTGTTTTGGCATGAAACCCAGCTCTGTGAAGCTTTACTATTTCTGCTCTTTCATTAATGAAATGCTGTCTAGTTACAGATAAGATTTATCTTTGATATCATTGGTGCTGTTTGTAGTCAAAGTAGTAGTTTTAAAAAGATTACTTGTTAGAGAAGTATTTTCCCAATTGATCCAGGGCAACAAAGCTCGCAAAAAAGCTTCCTGATGCATGTCCATACACTGCTGGGAAGGCAGACACACACAAGAGTGGCCTTCACATTTTTCCTTTTCATTTCTAAACATGTGTTATTACTAAGTCACATAACTATTTTCATGTTGTTTTCCACACTAGAAACAACTGGATGCAGAGTTCTCAAGTTTAAAAAAAAACCTGGTACTTTCAAGGACATGCAGAAGGCAGTGACGACCCATTCCTTAAGAATTCAGTTATGGTTTAGCTTTCGAACACAGGTACTAAAATGGCAGAGACTAATAACTCTTGGTTTGTGTGGTACTCCCTTTCACGAACAAGTGAACACTGTACCTTAGCAGTTCATAAATCTGAAATTGCAATGAAATGTAACAAACACAGCGAGAATAAAAGAAAAAGAAACAGCACAACTTTAGAAAAATAAATAGCTAGAGGTGGCATCTAATGCAGCTGCCTCTCACCTTGGAGCTTGGAACATGGCAGGCATCCAGTCATGCGCAGGAGGGGAGTAGAGGCAAAGTTCGCCTCTGCACTTCTCCCACTTTGCAAAAGGAGTGTCTGTCTTTGGCCCCGTCTTGCAGGGCAGAGGAGCTCAGCTACCCTTGGGACCCATGGGATTTCTCCTGTCTCAGCAGAGCTCTCCTCACAGTGCCAGCTCCAAAGCTGTGCTTGTCAGTTTGGAGCTGCAGGCTGTGAGAGCAGAGGATTCATGGTTGGAGTCCCAGCTCCACGCTCAGCACAGATTTCCAAGGATAGTGCTAGGATTCCTTTCTACTTTTTGGCCATCTAGACAGTGTCTAGACGGCCATAGGATTGTGCCCTTAGTTAAGGCAAACACCTTTGGTGATCATGAATGGTATTTCATTCTTAAAGCATTTGTTTAGCATAATTAAGTGATTGCATAAGGATTCCTAGATTTTGATCACCTCAGTACACTTGCAAAAGTAACCTGTCTGGTCAACAGAGTCTGTTTATCAATGTGAAGAAGAAAACACATGAGGGGTTTGTGTCCCTTCCTGCTGGAACTTCTTCTGTGAAATCTGTGAATGGAAGCTCATAGTGTTCATCTTCAGATTGGCAGTGGGCTGCATTTAACTTTTTACCCCCTCGCATGGAGGTAATCTTATGGATCAATCCAGATACCACGCAGTTTGCAAACAAATGCAATACAAAGGACCTTTTAAAAGCTCACATCATAATTCTATGAGATAGAATGTTTGTCTCCCAATTTAAAAATAATTTCTCAGAAGCAGGAATGGAATTTCTTGGGAACCAGTAAATTCCTTTGGAGCCTTTTTTTAATTAAAGGAACCAGCTATACCATCAAGACTTTATGACATAATTCAAATTGAGTACTGTGGAAATGTGGTTGAGGTTGTCATATTTCAGAACTGAGTTCACACTCCCATAAGTACATAATGTACCATACCATCTCTTGGAATTCCCCCTGATATTGAGACACCCTTGTAAATATCATTCACATCTTTCCAGAGATTCATAATCCGGCTTGTAGGAGGCATTGTCGTTGCATTCACGAAGCTTTGGATACGAACAACAATATGACAACTCACTCTCCAATAGGTATTCCAGGGAATGCCATGACAGAATCCCCTGTCTCTTGTTTCAGCTGTGATTATGACCCCTCTTGGAGACACTGCTGCTTTTATCTGGAGATAATTTTTGTGCCATCCAGTGACGGTTCCTTCAAAGTGGCCAAGCAGCACATGAGAATGTGTGCCTGTGGCTCACCACCTACTTGTGTTGATTTATTCCTGAGATATATGTAAACGTTTTCATTATTTTACAATTATTAAAATTATTAAATCCCAGATTTTTGGAGTTGCACAGGTGCACAACTTCCAGCTATCCCAAATGCATAGCTTGGACTTGACAATGGTGGCTCATACAGAAGCACTGACAGAGCAAGGCAACTGGAGGTTAATTTGTTGCTTTGCCATTCATTTGACAACTGTCAAATGGCGAACTGTTGAGTGAGAAATGATAGCAGAAGGGGATCTTTGTTGGGGAAAGGGGGAGTCATGTGGATCGCCCCCTTCTCAGTGAGGTCCTGCAGTTTTGTTGGGGGAGGTGGCGGTTGTTGGTTGGGAGACTGAACCTGATTGTTTTTGGTGTCCTCCACCTTTTCCACCCCTTGCTGAGAGTCTAATCACTGAGAAAGTGGGTGTGTGTAAGCCATTCCATTTACAGCAGCATGGAGTTTCCCTTCCATGTGAGAGCTTGGAAAATGCCTCTTCTGAAGGTCTGACTAGACAGCATTGGCTGCCTGGGAAATGCAGGAAATTGTAGGAGATTATTTTTCCTATCTAAACCTGCATAGGATTGTGCCCTCAATATATATATATGAGTGTGTGTGTGTTTATTTTCTTTATTATATTTATACCCCACCTTTTTTCTGTTCAAGGAACTCAAGGCAACATGCATAATTCTCTTCTTCCTCTCAGTCCTCATCCTCACAACAACAACCCTGTGAAGTACGCTGGGGTGTGAGTCTGTGATTGGAGCAAGGTCACACAGGTAGCTCTGTGGCTGAGTAGATACTAGAAACCCAGCCTCCTGAGTCCCGGAGCTGTACTCTTAGCCACTATACCACACTAGAGTGATTGGCCAATTGAAACGGATGCAATAAATCATCTAAAATAATATTACTTGATTAACCTTCCTCATTCATCACAATTCTGAATGGTCGTCATACAGTCCACCTTGTCTGACCGTCACTCTTCTCCAAACTGCAACCCAGGTTAAGATGTAATGGTATCCTGCCCTCTTTTCCCCTTGTCCCAGCTGGTCCCCAGCAGAGAAGAGCTGCTGCATGCGGGTGGATGCCCAGCCACACCCACAGGAGGAGGAAGCCTTCTTTCCTCCCTCTGAATTTTCCATGCAGAGCATGACTTCGGTTGTTAATTATGTCTGCACCATCCAGCATCAACAGCGCAAAAAATCAAAATGAACTTCTATCAGGAAGGAGCAGACAGGCTTCCCGCAAGCAGGAATTCCAGGAGCACTTGGTCTGCCTTGCTTTCTTTGGATGATCATGCACATTTCTGAAGTTGTCATCAGGCCACTGATCGATTAGGACACTGTCCAGATGGGCAGCAGCTCTCAGGATTGCCCTTTCCAACTGGATGCCCTCCGGATGTGCTGGACTGCAACTCCTATCATTCCCAGCCAGCAGTATGGGAGCTGCAGTCTAACACGCCCATAGAGCACCAGCTTGGTGTAGATTTTTCTAGGGTTTCAGAAAGGAGGCTTCTTCGCCTCATCTTTAGATGCAAGACCACGTGGGGCCTTTTTAATGGACTGTGTGCTCTGCTAGTATATTTCCCTTCATTTAAGGATGACTGACTCCAAGGGCCTTTTATCAATGGCATGAGCAACCCAATGCATTCCATCTCCCAGTAGTTCTAAAACAATAATTTGAGAACATTGGGATGACTTGCTCAGCTATCAATTATCTTATTGGCTGTTTTTAAATACTTTTGTATCCAGAAGGTCATAAGCTGACTGTTATAATGTTCTCTCCCTTTTCCTCTGTCTCTCTTCTTTTTATTTCATGCCAATTATGCAGACCTACTTGGCAAGTTCAAGATAAAGCAGATGCTAACAACGTGGCTTACACAAGTGAAAAGCTGAGCTTTCACACAGACTACCCTGTTCTGCAATTTCCACCTGGGGTAAGAGGAAACGAAGGGAAGGGAAAGCAGTGGAAACATGGGGCAGTTGTCCTGTAAGTGTAAATAAAGTGACATGCAGTGCAGATGTCTGGTGAGGCATGAACTGAACTGGAAACTGTATCTGATCTGGTACATATTTATTTGCTTTTTGTTTATTTAAATTTCTCTCTATATTTAAGCTCTAGTAGGAATTCAAATGCACTTTGTTTTTATTCTGATTTAATTTGTTTAGTTTTTAGTATGCCATTGTTCTGCATAGTCTGATTTTCTGTCAGCCCAAACACAAAACCCAACTCATATACAAATGCTATTTCCATGGCACTCACAAAAGCCACATTTCACACTTCTCTGAATTTTGCAGTGTAGTTCCCTATTTTCCCTATATTCCCTAAATAGTTCCCTATTTTTTCAAGTGCATACATGAGTCAAAGTGGCATACAAAACTGAATGCATTTGAGGAAATGCTTACAAAAATGCATACATTATTGCTGACCTGATGATGAGTGCACGGAGTCCTGCCAGCTTCATCACTACACTGAAAGCAGAGAGAGACTGCCTGTGGCTCAGTCCAAGGTAGCTGTGTGCTCCTTGGCATTCCTGTTGTAGTTGTGATGAGGAGCAGTGGGCCCAGGAAAGACCTCAGATCCTCTTAGACACACTTGCACGTAGGTGACATCCTTCTGTGGAAAAGCGCAAAGTTGTGTCAGTGAAGACCAGGAACATGCACTTCTGTACAATGCTTTAATGACCTAGTGAACTTCTGACATGCTGACCAAATTCCTGCCATTCTGCCTGCATTTGCAAAGGCAGGAGATTAATGTGGCGAGTGCGGATACCGTAGGAAACTTTTGCTCAAAGCCCTCAGTCAATCTGTAGCAATCATGTTATTAATGAACTGAGCAGGCAGCATCATGAGCTGCTAAATGGATGGCAGACTTTCAAGTGGTGCTACCTTGAAAATTCATTTAGATCCTGTACAAGTGGATATGCCATAAGACCGGAGGGGTGTTCCTCACATGGGAAACAAATACAAGCCAGCTCACCATCTTAATTTTGCCAAGAATCACACTCTGCCGTATTTTTTCACATTATATTATTTCAGCTATATTATTCACAATGTTTTAAAGTCTAAAATACTCATAGGAAACAAAAATAGTTTGAGAAAGCATTTTGGAAGCCACTTGCATGCACTCACTCCTTGCTTGTATTTAAATTCCCTATTACATAATACTTTTTGAAGTTTTCCCAAAGAATAGCAAACGATGAGTCCCCAAAAGCTATTTTTCTCCCCACCATTGAAAGCCCCAGGGGACCACTTCACATAGTTTCCTTTGGAAGAGGTTGCAGTGAGAACTTCTACAGCTCTTGATAAATCTTTGCAGTTCTTTCCAAGGGGTGCAGAACCTGGGGCCAGGAGCCCAAACCAACCCTCCTGGGACCAGATGGCCATGCCGTTTTCCTTTTTCCTTGGTGGCTCTAAAATCCTCAAATGTGATGCTCAGAGGTACCCTTTTTGCCTTTGATGCCATCCACCATTTTGAGAGCTCCCCTGAAATGGAACGGCTGAAGCAGGTTCAGTGCCCTTGCTTTAGAGAATGCAGGCTGAGCATTGGAAGGGCTTAGTGGGTAGTGCTTACCTGAATGGGGAAGGAAGGGAAAGAACCTGTGGCAGGTGGCATAATAAGCTTTCATTAGGCCACAGCACGCTCACTGGAGACTAGGGCACCCTGGGAAATAGAGTACCATGATCAGCCTGGGCCTCCATGATACTTTCCATGCAGTCAGAAATGAGAGCATCATTGCCTCTTGAGCTTTTCCCACCAATCCCACCTTGACATCAGTAGGTTTAGAAAAGAGCAGGGGCAGCTTTTAAAGCCATCAAGGCTGGTGGCCATCACTGCATCCTGTGGAGGGATTTTCTGTAGTTTAAATATGTACCACATGAAGAAGGATTTCCTTTCTGTTGCAGCAACCCTGCAACATGTACAAATCTATATGCAATTCAAATGCTGTTAAAACTCCAGTACTTATTTTGTCCTCTTAATTGCCACTGTCCAGCTTCATCGTGAGCTTAAGTGGACTCCGGGGGTTGGTGGAGGACAGGAAGGCCTGGAGGAATGTTGTCCATGGGGTCGCAATGGATCAGACACGACTTCACGACTAACAACAACAAGCTTCATGGGATGACCCAAGTTCTAAAGTTATGAGACAGGGACGAGAAACCTTTCCCTATCCACTTTTTCCACACCATTCATCTGCTTCTCTAACTACAGCGAGAGAGAAATAGAGAGCCAGTGTGATGTGGTAGTTAAGAGTGTTGGACTGAGGACCAGATTGTAATCCACATGTAGCCATGAAGCTCTCTGGGTCACTCTGAGACCAGTCATATGAAATCTGGTTGACCCTTGGAGGTGTCCACCACAACCCCAAGTTCTCTTTCTTGGTCAGTCACCACTAGCTCACATCCTGTGAATTAATACGTGAAGTTGGAAATTTGTTTGCCCCAGTGTGCATCACACTCCCTTGCACTGACCTGTGCTTGCCATTTTAATGTCCATTAGTTCAATTGGAAAGATCTTCTTGGAGCTTTTCACAAACCCTGTTTGTTTTAATTACCCTAACTATATGGGTGTCATCAGCTGATTTAGTCACCTCAGTGCTCATCTGTAACCACTCAGGGATTTTTTAACCACTTGGGCATGTTATTATATCTAGCCTATATACAGTAGGTACCACAAATAACAAATAATTCCATATCATGTGTGATCAAAGCACCAGTCCCACTATAGCTCCTTGAGGGACCCACTGCTTGCATCCCTGTGATGTGAAACCTGACCATTTATTCAAACTCTCTATTCTGCAGTCAGTTTAACCAGTTGTTCCTCTTATTTTATAACTGCTAAGTTTGCTCAGAGGCCTTTGGTGAGATTCTGTCAATGCAACTAGAGCACACAAGTCTGGGGAAGACTGACCTCACTTTTAATTAGGCCAGTTCCCCTCACATTTCCCTGGAGTACGTGTGAAAGTGAAACGAAGCACATGCGTAGGAACTACTAGTCAGCAGCTCATTGCCCAAATTAGCTACTACTTATTGCATGGAATCTGCATCCCTCCTGCCAGAAAATGTCTGGAGAGAATGAATGATGGGATGTGGAACCTTCTGCCAGAGTCCCTAATCCAACTCAGAGAGGTACTGCATCCAGGCCGTGGAGCCTGCAGTGGGATCCCCTCTGCTGTCTTGGATCAGAGGCAACAGCAGGGCTGCAGAGGCTTTGGTGGGTGTTGGAAGGAGACGCTGCTGTTCCCAGCCCCAGCTGAGCCCTTTTGCACAGTGTGAGGCCAGGGGAGCAGCCAATGCTTCAGGAATGGCCTGTCTCCCCAGTGCTGGCAGAAGCCTTGCTCATGGGTTCCCCAGGGGCATACTGAGTGCCGCAGTAGCTCCTCCCACCATTCCTTCCATCACCACCACTGTGCCTCGCTTGGCATGAAGAAGGACAACATGGGCAGGAGACAAGGCCATGCCACTGATGCTCTCCAGCCCACAATTGGCCTTGTGGCAGGGCAGCCCAAGCCCTGGTAAGGCTCTGCACCCTGAGATATGTATGTATGTATGTATGTATGTATGTATGTATGTATATTCTAGGCCATATTATCCTGAAGACCTAGAATTGGGTTGCAATAAGCAAAAGCAAAGAGGCTGATATTAAAATTAATGAAAAGCTTAGAATGATGTTAAAATGCACACAATAAAATGATTCTGAATAAAGAGATCTTTAGACCAGTCCCTCTTATAATCTGGCATTAATGTTTACAGATTCAGTTGCTGCATTGTATAAAGCAAACTTCTTCTGGAGGGGAAAGTGAAGTTGTGGATGGATTTCATGTAGCAAACAAGCTTAAGAAGCAAAATCCCGAAGCTTTCCAAATCCTGGCGTCTACCTTGGTAGACTTCACAGATGTCGGGGTTGATTACAGTGACTTCTCCATGCAGTCCAAACAAAGAGTTATAGAGTAAGTAACAATAAAGAGTCTGCTTACACCACACCAACATCAGTTTATCTTATGCTGATAACATGGTCTCACTGTTTTACCCTGCATTACGGGTAGCAGCAATCTTTTTGAACTAGTTCTGTTCAAACTGGTAGATCTGCGCCTGCCACCTGGTGGACAGGGGAATCCGTTCTTTAAATCGATGCATGTTGTTACATTTATCCTAAGGATGGATGAGAATTTTGTTCCAGTTCAGTTTTGATATAGATTTACCAATATTTGCAACATTCCCATTATGCAGGACAAACAGAACTTGTGATTTAAAAGAAAAGCCAGATGTGGGAGAGCACAGAGCTAAGCGCAAGCTGCGGTGCAGGTGGATTTCTCTGATGTTAGGGAACAGGCAGTGTGAGGCCTAGGTGCAGAAGTCCCCAGGAGGTGGGTGCCTGCTAGCAGGAGGGAGGATGGCCCACTGTGGGTTGGAGCGATTTGCTCTGGGCACGGCTTTCGGGCAGCAGGGCTTGCGGACCAGGAGAAGAGTTCCATAACTACCTTTCACTTTATTTTCTGTCTAAGGAAACATTTTCTATACACTGAGACTCTCAGTGATGCTGCAGAAGTAAAGCTGCAGATGAGTCTTCCTTGGTGTGGGGTTGAAAGGATGTGAGCATACGGACTGTGGTGATTTCTACAGGGAAGCCTTCCCTGGCCAGAGAGCAGGGAGGAGGTTAGGCTTGGATGGTAACCACTGAGGGTGGGAGGAGACGTAAAGCGGGGGAGAGTCAGGGGAGCAGGAATGTGGGGTGGTGGGTGGTAGAGGAGTGGGGAGATGCAGCCACTGGGGAAGAAGTTCAAGGCAGAGAATGGCACGGAGGAATTGGGGGAAGGTTCCCATATCAACAAGACAAGACAGTTGTGAGGTCGGCCATGACTGGTAGCGGAAATGGGGCCTTAGAAAGGGAGGGGATTCAGCCAGGGTGGGTGGGTTCCAGAGGACCATGTCCATAGGCACAAGTAGTTCCCAAGGCGTCTTGAAGCAGAGGTAATAATACAAGGGAAGCCATGTGGAATGATGTGGCAAAGATGGTGGAGCAGGGCACGGAAAGGGGGTGTTGGGTGGGCTGACAGAAAAGGAGAAGCCTCCATGTGCAGTCATGAAGGCAGACAGGGACAAACGTCTCACCATGGAGAAGGATCGCACTGTACAAGGGCACTTCCAATAGGTGGATCCTTTCATTAGCAGGTATCTTTGACTGAGGGGCACTGGGAGAAAAAGAAAAGGGAAGACGTGACAAAAAATATGCCCAGGGAACTCTGTGGACCAATGAGGAAGAGGCAGGTGATGTAGACAGGGAGCAGTGCACCTTGGGATTGAATTACAGCAGCACTGGCTGATGGGAGTTTGGAAATGCTCATGAAGAAACCACTTATCATCTGGCAGGTAGATTATGCTAAAAAAAAGCATAAACCATGGTAACGATACAGGAGTAATTGCCATGACATGTGAATCCACCCAATGTCTAGGGACCATAGGATCAGTCCTTTAAAGAGTTAAGTACTCAAAACCCACTGTGCAAATTGAAGTTTCATTTACTGCCACATTGCCTAAATTAAAGTCTTGCATGTCCCTACTCTATAAGGTTGTGCACAAATTAAAAGCGTGAGAAGACTGTTTTCTTATACCACAACTACTGAAAGCCTGAAATTTGCTGTCTCTTTCTTGACAGTGTAGATGAAAATGGCCAAGTGACTCGTATCAACTTTAATAATGCAACCAGAGACACAATATTTGATGTACCTGCTGAAAAAGTGAAACCATTTTATGCCGCTCTCAGGAACTATGTTGATCTGTTAAACAGTGTGGATAATAAATATACCTACAAAATGAAACCAGGTAATTAAATTAACTGGTTCAATAATCAAAATGCTTTTTCATTACCAAGAATGATGCTTTTCTTGTGTACTCTTTGTGCACTTCTCTTGTTTTGGTGTGGGGTTGTCAGATTTAAACCTTTCTGTTCTGCCAAACACAAAGGTTACTTTTCTGGAAATGTATTCTCAAAAGTCAATGAATTTTTAAAGGTTTTTCTTCTCATTTCCTGGTGGATGTGCACACATACACATGCGTCTGAAAAAGGTCTCTGGTAACAAATCTGAGCATTCACTAATGACAGTGGTGTTTACAAAAAGAACAGCTCCAAGCTCTATGCCAAAGTTACCCCACTTTTGCTTCAAGAGAAGATTGACCCCGTAGCTTGGATTCATCACATGAATTAAGCCAGGTTTTGTGCACTCTGGCTAGGACGTTGTTATTCTTTATCTCACCAGGTGTCATAACATAGCAAACTATTGAAACTGTCACTGCACAAAGAGGATCACCTTGCTGGAGCAAACTTATCTCAAAATGTTTTATCAGGGCACTCCCCTAGTCTATCACATTTCTGACAGCTACAAGTGCCTCACACCCCCACCTTTGACTTTGCCACATTCTGTTGCGTTACAATATGGAATTAAAATGGATGTAATTGGCACTGTTGCCACTTGATATGCACAAGCCCCTATGAAGGTTTGGCATATTTGTATTGTGGCACAAGAGATAGGTTAAAAAGGGAAGAAAAAAGCGCACTTGCAGCTTTTCCAAAATGTGGAAAAGTCAGAGGGTGAGTACTTCTGCAAGTCGCTGTACGTATTTGTTGACCACTGATTTTATTCTAAAATATCTCACTGATTTTTACATTTGTTTTTATGTATTGTATGTTTAAACTACCTACCTTTGCTGGATGGTGTGGGTAAAAATAATAAAATACAATACAAAAACAGCCAAAAAGTACAAATATCATAAGATATATGATTTGTGAAAGTGTATCCTAACACTTTTTTTCAGGTGAAGTAGTGGTATTTGACAACTGGCGTTTACTTCATGGTCGGCAGAGTTACCAGACAGGAAGAGAAATATCCCGTCACCTCGAAGGGGCCTACGCAGACTGGGATGTGGTAATGTCAAGGCTTCGTATTCTGCGAAAGAAAGTCCTGAGCAGAGAGTAACCACTGAGAGATGAACTACTTGGGACCCTCGGCCTATGCAAGGCTTGGCTGTTCTTCCCTCAAAGGCAAATGGATCCAATGTGTTTCCAGTGACTTCAGGGAATAGCTGGCTGATGCAGTTCTATCTATCCTATTGAAACCCGGGTTGACCTCTGGGAAAAGGTTCACAGGACAATCCCGTTATCCTGAGGAGGGCATCCCAGTGGCCATACTTGATGATGGACCTCCCCTCTCTCTGTTGGAGACAGAGCTATGACCGTAGGGGGAAATTGAGCAGGGGTTATGCCCTCTGCAATTTCCATGGAAAGCTCTGCCATGGCTCCTCTTCCAAGGTTGTTCCAAGGAAGAGGGATAGGCAGATAGGGAAGGCATGATGGAGGGCAGAGAGAGGAGAAGGAAGCTGTGGATCCATTATTGGGCAGATTGGATTGATAATCAGTAATCAACAAGCTTTTCTGTCCCTTTCTCAGCCCACTACAAGGCACTACAAGGTAGAGGAGCTCAGAGGGAGAACTAGCTAAACTGAAGGACCAGGAGGCAAAAAAGGCCTCTGTCCTTCCTCTTGCCATGCCTGCCTCCTGTCAGCAGGGCTTTGGATAGACGGAGATCCCATCCATCAACAGAGTGTCCATACTGTTGGATGATGCTTTGTCATGCGTTGTTAACATAATAACATGTAAATGTACTTACCCCCGATTGAAGCCTGAACAACTTCCTGCTTTTCCAACAGTTGTGAGCAGTGAAATAACAAGAATTAGAAGAATTTTCCAACATTTGTCTATGCATTCACTAGTGGGAAAGAATTCCTATGGGGAGGGGCACAGGGAGCTGGTGGTAGAACATCCTTGGTGAAATGTCCTTCCCTTTTAAATCCACATGGTTAGATTGCAGCTGGCCTTGTGTTCCAGCCAACTTTTTTAGGACAATGATATCTTCACTGTTTTCCCTTGGCTATTTCTTCTTGCACTTTTCACCAGCATGTAGTTTTTAATGGTGATTTTTCTTGGATTGTTTTAGATATTATAGCAAGCTGTTTTGTAGCAGCAAGTTGGAATAAGAGCTAGGACAATAAAAACACCAGCAGCACTCTTCGTTTGAATTTTTAAAATAGCAATATGCAGAGCCTTCCTATTCACTATGTTTATAGCAACATTAACTGTCTAAAAGCTAAAGAATTATCTGGAACAAACTGACACACCTTTTCTTTGAAAATGGGGCAGGGGGTGGCATCAGAAGCCCAGTGTATGGCTTGTGTTGGTTTCCAGTTCAGTCAGGAAACAAAAACAGTGAAACTTGTAAGTTGTAAGAACTGGCAAGTGTTCTTTTGCTTGTTTCCCCTCACTGCTAGTTGATTGCTGGTTTAGGTTGCAAACCTGGCAGCCCTTAGCTGTTAGTAAGTCTCACTGAAGTAGACATGCACAGGATTCTTCAAGCTGACAGCCTCTTAATGCTCGCTGTTCTGAATGCATCTTTCTTCAACAAAACAGGAAGCAGCAGATCTGGAGGGAATAACTAGCGCCCCTCCTTCCTTGTTAAGCCTGGCTCAGAAGAGTTAGGCATCAGTGCACTTGGTGTGCTGCCCCAGGTTGCTTCCATGTGAGCCTTCTGGACAAATGCTAGCCCTCAATTGCTATGCTTCAGTCAATTGTCTGTCCATCCTTCCATCCTTCTTTCCTTTTCCTTTCTTTCTGAGCATCTAGATAATTGCGAACTCATTGTTTTCTCAGTGGTCCTTTATCTGGCACTGAGTTTACCTAAATTGCTCAAGAAATCTGCAATCTACTTTCTCAGGAGAGTATAACGTATACTATTGAGTATCCATTAGGACCTAACAACATCATCCACACAGTCGTTGCTATTTGTAAAAAATGCTCAACTGTTACTAATACAAAGCAGACTGTCTACATTCTTGTTGAAGCAGAATAGCACAAATGCTGCTGTACTTTTTAAAGTTAATCATGCAGCTCGGAAAAGACTGAAGCATGTATAAATAAGGAGAGTCTCTGGCTTAGCAATAGACAACTTTTTCCTTTTCTAGTTGTTCATTCAGGAGGGGAAGGGAAGGGAAGGGAGCGGAAGGGAGCAGCAAAGCAGGCTCAGCTCCTGGAGTAACCATTCTTCTCATGCTCACAGGATCCTGAGCTGGCTTGGCTCCCCTTTACCTCCCTCAGTCAAGGAAAGGAAAAAGGGAAATGCTGAGCAAGAGGAGTATCGAGGTAGCCTTCACCTCAGCATTTCTCCCATGCTTAGAGTGCCTGTAATCCCTTGAATTCAGAGGGTCACAGGCATCCCCATAGGATCATGGCCTTACTTATCTTGAGGTTACATTCTCTCCCACTGTGGATACAGTAATTACAGCAAAAGCTTGAAAAATGCTCATATAATCACCATGGTATAATTTCTCAAAGCATTTAATGGATATCCATTTATGTTTAGTCATGATATTTGCCTGTTTGGGTTTAGCTTAGTTACATATTGGGGTGTCTAAATTTGTAGAGGTTTTGAAGCTAAATAAGACTAAATCAACACACCTGACATTACCAGGCCCTCTAGATTGGTCCCAGATGGCAAATCAGCCGTCAGGGTTAATCCAGTTCCCCACCTCTAGTATCTTTCCCCTCCAATGTGATGCCTTCCTAAATGGATGTGATCTTCCAGATTTTCTTTCATGCAAGTTTGACCATTTTTTTCTTTGCACAATATGCCAAGTCTCAGTTAAGATTTGTATCCGACTTTTTATTTAAGAACATTCCTAAACAATACCAAATAGTTGTTTGTTCTTCCTGCTTTGTATTTTGGCATCACATTAGAATTTGATACAGTGCAGCACAAGCTGATGTGACATATCACAAACACTGGCTTTTAATTGCTACTTGATCCATCAATGCTTCCTTTCTTTTCCATCCAGAAAGTCTAATGGTTTCTAATGCGTGTGTATTAAAACAAAAATTCAGTGGTCTTGTTCATCTAACTGTAAATCAGCTTTCCTATGTTTACTACATTAAGATACTGTTTTTTGACAGGGAAACCCAATTCCTTTCATCAGCGAAGCCCAAATCCTTAGGTTTGATTCAGCCACTTCATTTTGGAAAACATTTTATGCTTTGAACTCTGGAGCTTTCTGAGAACACTTCCATGTGTTTATGCATTAATAAAATTTAGTTTTGGAACCAATTAACCATTTGGATTCTTGCCTGCTTGGAAAACCCATTTTCTATTAGACTGATGTATTGCACAGACGCTGGAAGAAAGATAATGGCAGAAGAAATCTCAAAAGGTAATCTTCAAAAGGGTTTGGCTAAACTTGTGGATATGTACAGCTGAGATAAGATTTTTATTCATTCAAAATAGAAAGCCATTAGGCTACATGAAGGGAAACTCTGTCCAGCCATCACTGTAAGTGGATTGCTTTTGGCAGCATATTCTGCATTGAATTCAGAATTCAGTCCTCAAGCCGTGTTTCTTCAAAGGGGGCCATGTTCATGTCAGTGCAGCAAGATTGCTTTTGCAAATGCTGCCTTGCTTCATGGTGCAAAGTTGTCCCATGGAATTTTTCTCAGGATCATCTCCCTACCCACTGCCATTTGCAGGAAGACACATTTCAGTTGAATGTAGGAAAAAACTTTCTGCCAGAGCAGTAAGCCAATGGAATCAACAGCTGGGAGAGGAGGGCCTCTTTCCATTGTTTAAGGTACTCTAACAGAGATGGGACAGCCATCTTTCAGGAATGCTTTTATATGGATCATTACACTGAGTTGTGGGTTGCATTCAGTGGCCTAAATGCTAGATGGCCTGGGAGGTCCCTTCTGACTTGCTCTGTTTCTGTTTCTATGTTTCTAAATGGCCCGTTCTAATTCTGTGATCCTATTATCTGTCATCTAAATTGTTCAAGAATTGCAAGAAAAGTTGGATTAAATCTGCTAGTTTACTTCTTACAGAGGCCAGCACCCACTAACTTTATTTAAAGAAAGATTCTAGCACAGGGATATATGAAAGTTAACCCAATTACCACTGAACCTAATTTTCAGTGTGGTCTTACACAAGTCTTCTCAGAAGAAGGCCCTACATTGAATTCAATGGGACTTACAGCTCTGTGCAGGTATAAGTGTGTGTCCTGAAGCAGTGTCACAATCTCATTTGCTCAAGATGACTCTGAGCATGAGTTTCTTGAACAGTAATGCCCTTCAGCTCCCATCCTCACAACAAACTGCTTCTGGATTTTGTGTGTGGTGGGAATGAGTTGCAGGCTGTGCTATAGAAGTGGTTGTCTGCTACTCATAGATTAATCACTTGGACGCAACTGAAATAGCTCCTTAGAGCTTAATCTTACCGCTTTGGGTCATCCATAGATTCCATGCTCTTCTCACAGCCTGATTCCATGATCCTGTATGCTAGAATTAGGAATCACAAACATTAAGGATCCTGAATTATTCAAGTCAGGGCTTTCTGTGACTAGGTTTGGACAATATAAGTATGGGTTGAGTGTGGGTTGTTAAGTGGGTTAAAACATAGGTTGCCATGTGATCTGAAAACACCTCCAAAATAAGAAACCATGCTGTACAAACCACAAGTCACAACCCAATAACAAAACATAGGTTCTTTTCATGGGTTGTATGTAGTGAAGCCATGGCTTGGTAGTGCCACTGGGTTCAGCCAACACAACCCTCATTTCAACAACAATCCATGGTTAAGCAACAACCCACACTCAACCCATACTCAACCCTTCAGTGTGGGTCATTGTGTTGCCTGAACTCATCCTATGGGTGTGTTCACACATAACACTAAACAATGCCATGTAGTAACTGTATGGCATGGTATCTTACCTTGTCTTGTGTGCACACATTCGTGCAGTTCATTTGCATTCCTGGTTTCCATGCTTCTTCATCTTCCCTCCAAATGGTGGCATGTATCCCATCAGCGCCACAGGTGGAGATGAATCCCATGATGCACTGCTCCTGCCTGCATTACCTGCCTCTTCCTCATTGGCCCACACTTTCCTGGGCATAGCCACAGCCAGCTGCTTCCACTCCCATCCCTTTTTTTTACCCGCTTGGTGAAGCAACTGCCTACTCACTAGAGTAGCACTGCAGGAGCAACCCCCTGCCCTTGCACAAGCACACCCACCTCGACTCCCTCCCTGCACATGTATCCACACACACCCCATGCACAAGACTTGCACTCGCTGCCACACACCCCTGCATCCAGCTGCACAGAAGGCGTCAGTGTCTGGGAGGGAGGGAACACATCCTTCTGGGCTGATTTTTCTGAGGCTGTCAGTCTAGGCATCTGCCCAGGAAAGTTTGCCAGCAAGCTGTCAGGGTAGTGGAGGGGGGACATTGGGGTTTGTGAGGAGCCCTGAGGATTGTCAGGGAGAAGACAGGAACAGGGCAGAGTAGAAGGCACAGGCTCCAAAGGACACTTGCCCTGTTGGTGAAGCCCCACACACTGCCCCTGTGTGGAGCAGGGCAGCCTCTACAGAAAGTGACCTCTGGCTCCCATGACAGTACAAATATGGTGCCACTCCAAAGCACTGCTCCAGCATGGGACAGAGGCCAGGCCGGCATGCCAAGCACGGCGGCCTCCACGGTTGTGGCTGCTGCTAGAGGCAGTGTGGCATGCTGCCCTAGAAATCCCTTCACCATGGCTGGCCATCAGAAAGCCAGAGGGGGGCTGTAGCGGTCTCAGCAATTGCTAGGCAGAAGAGGAGTGCAAAAATGCAGCCCGGAGCATCGGTGGCCAAACTCAATGGCAGAAATATGGAAACCACACCAAGACGTTGCAGCTGGGATCCCACATAATGGCAAACAAAGGTGAAGCCGGGAAACCTTACCACAGGCAGCTGTTTCTCTGTGGGGTTTTATGGAAACCAAACATGCCACACTACGTGCCAAATTCACACAGGACAACAAGCCTTGTCTGTGTGGTTTCCAGCATGGCTTGCCGTTGTGTGCGAATCAGTGAATCTGAAATAAAAGTAAGATCTACCCAAATTCCATCATGCAAGATGCCATTAGAGTTCCATGGATATGTACATGTGTTGTGTATTTGTGTGGGCATGTGTGGTGACGGGGATTATTTACGAAAGGTGCTAAGAGTGCTCGTTTCAGATAGTTCTCCAATGGCAAAAGTCAAATGGATAGTTCTGTGGCAGCATCCCATTGTGCCTCTGCCCACGCAGGAATGATTGGCTTCACTGTGGGACTTTTGTGCTGCTAAAAATAACCTCAGAAATAAGCAGAAATGTTCATTTCTGCAGCAGGGCAGGGCAGGGCAGGGCAGCAGAGCTGGACTGGATCCCTCCCAATCCAGAAACAAGAGTTTCTACACAATCCCACAGTGATTTTTGGGTACACAAAAATCTGTTGTGTGTGCAGTCACTTTCATGAAAGTAATGGAACCAGCAGAGGTGGAATGGCTTCCCTGGATCCTGCCCTTGGAATGAAGGGAACTTAAGGGAGAAGCATATTTATTTATCAATTCCATTCATAATCCCACCTTTCTCCCACTGTGGAACTCAAGGTGGCCACATGCGGTTCCCAGATAGTCTCCCCTGCAAGTTCAGGCCAGCCACAGACCTGCTTAGCTGCAACATGGTGGGTGCCTAAGTGCCTTCAGCCCATCCTCTAGGCCAGTTGAGTTGGGAAGCTGTCTTGGAATGAGACTGAAGGAGGGCACCTGTGGCTTACTGAAGCCAGTGTGGCTACATATGAAGCATAGGAAGCTTCTGTATACCCTGAAGTGCCTGATCCTGCCTAATCTTGAAAACTAAGCAAGATTAGGCCTGGTTGAAATCTGGATGGATGATTTGAATGTTGTGAACTGCCCAAACCTATTTTACACTCAGGTTTTCAATTAGGGTCAGTTCCCTGAAAATGGGATTAGCTCAAAAATGAAGCGAATGCGTGTTACTGAGATCCTTTTGCTTTTGTGGTATTTCTCATACAGCCTTTTTTCATATGTTGTTCTTCATAAGCAGTAAAACTGTAATGAATTGGTCCCAGTTGCTTCCGTCATGGAACAGAAGCCACTGCTTTTTCCATTACATCTGACTTTCCTTTCTTCTTCCCCACAAAGTGACAAAGTGCTTTTCTCTGCCCTGTGAGCTTGGAGGCCACAGTGTCACATGTTCCTACAAATGCAGGTGTGGCGTTTGGCATGAACTCCAGATGTGTGTTTTGCCAGTCTCCAAACAGTTCTTGTATAAATAACCACAGGCTGGAAGCACTGCAGTTTGCAGCATAGCAATGCTATGGGGCGAGGAAAGGGAGAAGCAGTGGGGGAGAAACTGCCATTCCATTCCTTACACTGGGAGGGAAATAAGTCAGTTTATGCCATATGTCCCTCGCTCCTTTCAAGTAACATGTTGGGGGAACAGGATCCAGTGGTGGTCCTTTTTGCAATTGTTGCTATCAGGGCACTGAAGAAGTACAGGGGACAGCTTTGCACCCCAGCAGTAAAACTTCCAACAGATTGAATCGCAGAAAACATAAGTTTGCAGCCTTAATGATAAAATTCCATAGAAAGTTCCATCCATGGGATGAGCCTCTGAAGGAAGAAATGTTTGTTGTGTTTCCAGATTGGGTTACCTAGCTCCCAGGTCAGTGCTGGTGCCCTGCTTGCTGTGGAGCCTCTTGTAAAGGGATTCCCAAGAATTGAAGGCAAGCCACTTGTTGACCAGACACATTTGTAAATGGGAATGTTATGACATTTTCCAGTTAAATGAAGGGACAAACCCACCAAACATGGCTATGCTGTTCTTCCCAGCCAGCCATGTGAGATTGTAGCATGGAAGAGCAAATCTTGCGCCATTTTGTGCTGCACTTGAATGGGGGCTTTGCAGTTGGACTTCTGCTGCCCCCACCATACTTGTGAGTAGAAACATGTGCCAAACACTGATTGGAAATCCACTCTTTTCATTATGACAGGAAAAGTTGGGATTCAGGTTTCTAACTGTTTGGTCCTTAATACTGGCAAAGAAGCAAGCTATATTAGCCCATATTTGGTTGCAAGTGTGTGTGTGTGTGTGTGTGTGTGTGTGTGTGTGTGTGTGTGTGTGTGAGAGAGAGAGAGAGAGAGAGAGAGAGGGAGAGGGAGAGGGAGAGGGAGAGATTGAGAGCCTGTGTGGTGTAGTGGTTAAGCATGGGGGACTGGGACTCAGGCTGGCTCCAATTCCT